AAACTGAACTGTTACAGTTCTCTTTACCATATGTCTCTTGTTATTATTTTTCCTTCTTTCTTTCACAATGAGGTCATCTCTCACCTTTTGATGCTTCTGAAAACAGAAGAAGTGTTCCAGCATGCCATGCTGCAGGAAAGCATGGAGCCTTCCATGGTGCTTGACAGAACCATGTTCAATTTGTATTGTTCTACCACATGGTTAGATCAAGCACAAAGGAAAATCCCATTAATAGGCAGAGTCAGTGTTAAGCAGCCGCCAAAGAGATAAGAGCGTTGAAAGGAAGTAGCACGGAGAAGCACAAGCTGGAGATTTCATTGTGAGCTGATGTCCATTTCTCCCATGCATAAAGGAGCTGAAGTTCAAGAAGTCAAATTTACTGTTACAAAGGCAAAAATAAATTTGTATTGTACAGTAAGTTTAGAAGAACAACTAACAGATTCTTTTGAAGATGAAACTGTTACAAATTATTTTGAAAGGCTTACAGATGACAGCTAATGCTGAAGAATAAGTGCAGATTGTAAACATGATCCATGACATCATTAAGCAGATTACAATGCATGTAGAATTTTTTATGGAATAGTGTTATTCTTTTAAGTGAGCTTTTTTGCTTTTGAGTTGCAATGCTTAGAAAATAACTTCCCTCTAATACAGCCAAGGCATTTAAAATAAAGGTATAATCAGCATGTCATAATGCTTATTCTTCCCTATCCCCATTCAAACATTTAAGTTTTTTTATAGGAACTAATACATTAGATATAGTTTGAAAATAGTTAAAACAGGCAGGTGTCTACACTACCTTTTTGACTGTTATAACCACAAGTCAGGGACCTCCAAACTTAGAAACTTTAAGACTTATTGACTAAGTCCACAAGTCTTAAAATTATGAAGTTTGGACCCTTGCTCTCTAGATTTAGACAGGAGTCTGAATATTCTATTCTCCGGATTTAAGCATGACATTGTCAATAAGCACAATGAAGCTTCTGTTGATTCATATTTCATTGCTATTAAAAAAATCTGTTGTGGTGCTGCTTTGCTTTGCATTATACAGTAGCATGGACACTTCCACAATTATACTGCACTGGAATCTAAATGACTGTATCCAAACACCATGGTGAAAAAGTAACATTTATTGTGGCATAATTACATCTCTGTCTGCTCCCTCCCAACCAGAAGCCTCCAACTTAAGTAAGGTGTTTGTTTGATTTAGAGAAATCTCTTATTAGGAGCACTATCAGGAAACCGTAAGAACTGTTATGCAAAGAAAGTCCCAATTCATATATGTGAATCTGAACAGTGGTGCTGTTTGTTTTCACCTAGAGTGTTATAGATGGCAGAAGCTTTCTACAAAAGCACATAAAACAAACGAAGAATGCATGCATTTGGCACAAGGAACAGAGCCCTAACAGAGAAATATTGTAAAGCCGGGTGGCTGCATGTGAACTGTAACTCTGATCTATTTTTCTCATGTTGAAAAGGATCCCAAGGAGGGTATATATTACAGGTTTTAAATTATCTTACTAGCTATTAAACTGCCCTGTGGAAGGGTTAATGACTGTAGCTCTAGCAGTCCTTAAAAGCAACAGCAATTTAATTAGTATTAAACTAATATAATTTTGCAGATTTAAGATTTCCAGAGTTAAGAAATCTGGATTTTACAATGTCCCCTCCAAAAAACATTTCAACATAATGTAAAGTATGTTTGGAATAAATTGCCAAAATTATATTGTTTTTTTTAAGTATTATGTTTATTTATTAATTAGCAGTATTCCAAAGAGATGGATTTATTTTTTTTACTGAATTTTGCATGGTCATTTTGGAAGTTTGAAAAGCTTGTATGGAAAGAAAAGTGTGTGTGTGTGTGTGTGTGTGTGTGTGTGTGTGTTCATGTCTTATACATGAGTCTGGGCTGCTAAGTTAGAAACAGAGTAAAAACATAGTAAAAGCAAGTGTAAAAACAATAAGAAAAATATAAAATAACATAACAAAGAATCTCAGCATAGTTAATACCACAAAAATGGGCTCAGTCATACTATGAAGGTCTTGATGGCAAAGTCAAGTTTTCAATGCTTTGTGAAAGGTAAAATATGAGTAGAATTTGTTATACCAGAAGTTTGTTTCTTACTGTGTTCTTCAATTATACAAGATTTTATTCTGTGAAGAAATCCATAACAGCCTATGCATTTGACACACTGCATCTGTAGTCTATGATATTTGAAAATAGTAATCACCACTCTTGAATTCAACTGGAGGTGCAATATACTGTAAAGACCTGCTCTCTTTTATAAAAATATTGATGATAGTAAATTACATAATTTAATTAATTAAAAGTATAAGCATTCTCAGATTTATATCACTACTGTGAATTATTGTAAAGTAGCATCTGACAAATAGATTATTGGCAATATCTGATTGTCCTTCTTGCATTGTTTGCTACATTAGTGGTGTGCTTGATAGTGAAATGGAATAAGTAGACAAATGCTGAAATACTCAGGACATAGATTTAGAACTTCAAATGATAAATACATTCTTATTGTTAAACGAGGAGAAAGGAAATCTTTACTGACTCTGAACTTTCTTTTATCAAGCAGAAAAAATTACAGAAATGGACAGATCAATAATTAGCCAAATGAAACAGAAAGGAAGCAAAAGGAAGAAACAGTTTTCTGAGAATGGCTGAAAAATCTTCATAACATTTGTGGCATCACTGTAGAACTGTGCACCAATCAAGGAACAGTTAAAATTCTACTGCAATGTGAGATTATTGTTGAACAAGTAAATCTTGCTGGATTTATTTTGCCGATAGCTTAGAAAACAAAACTATACGGTAAATACCTTAATCAAATGGTACCAAGCACACAGGCCTGCTGAGATAATTTGATAGGGTAACAGCACTGCCATCTTGCATTAAATGCTTGGCTGCTATTGGGCAAGTACAGCTGATGGATTATGACACTTACTGAAAATTGACACCTACTGAATACCTTCTACAATAACTTGAAAGTACAAACAGTCAGCTGAAATTCAACAGGAACATTGTAGCTCTTCTAATTGCTCAAGCACAGAGACCAAAATCCATCCGACTAAACTTTATAACTTAGAAATAAAGGCAAATGAAGTCAGTTTCCAACACAGCATCAGGCAATAAGATCATTTCACTTCACACCGGTTGCATTTTGAAATGAGTAAATCATTAAAATGTATAATCTTTAGATACTCTTGCCTGGCTAACTTCTCTCCCCAAAATCCGCACAAAACAAACTTTTGATAACATTAATACAATATGAAGTTTAATGTATTATGTGTTTGTGTACATTTAACACTTATGCATTAATTCTGAAAGAACAGCATAGACAATTTAACCTCAAAAGTAAATTTTGGCATGCCAATTTATGATGGTTAAGACAATGTGCTCTCAGCATTTTTTTTTTGTAACAAGTTATGTCTGTTAAGGAGAAAACAACACTTTTCATCATAAGTTATGCAAAGCTAAAATGTGCTCATCTAACAAAAGAGCAACGTATCAGAAAATGGAATTTTAGTTTTCCCTTATCCAAATCCCACTTTTACTCATTTCCAATCATGAACAGCAAGAATATAAATCCAAGTTATTTTAAAAATTAAATTCAAAAGAGCTTTTGTTTAAAATAATGTATAGCTTACAAGCATGACTTTAAAATTCTGTTGTCAGATATTATGGCTATCTAAAGAAATGGAATGAAGTCAGTATCATTAAAAGGAATCTCTCAGCTTCAATTTAGCTTTATACTGAAATTGTGATTTCTTTTCAATCCCCAGAGCTGAGATTAGAATAAGCAATTGAATTTTCTTTTTTTAAAATAAATTTTATTAAGTTTCCAAATTTTAAAAACATCAAATAAAACTTTATACATTGTTATCAACATCAAGACATCTTTTGCATCTCCTCACATTTTTCAGTATATGTATTTACTTATTCCTTTACAATTACATCTTACTCTTACTATAAATCAATATCTTTTATCCTTACATCTCAATCTTCTCCATGGTATATTTACATATTTACATATTTCCTCATTCTTTTCCTAATTGCCATTTTCTTTTCTTTTTATTTCTATTTTATTTATTTCCGCCCCCTCTCTTCTCTCATTCAGATACTTTGGCAATATTAAAATTAATAGATTAAAAGTTAAAGTGGATCACACTATTTTACTGTAGTTTACAATGGCATGGAATTATCAGACAACTGATGGAAGTATTTTTTAAATCATCATTGTCTTCCTACACATTTAAGTTTGTGAACCCAGGTTTGCAAGGTTTGTTGTCCACCAAATCCATATAGACTCTATCCATTTAATTTTTAAACATAAAAAATGTTTTTGAAACTGAATTAAGTGTAACTGAAATTACATTTTAATGTATTTTTCCAAATTTTAATTTATTGTTGCGTTTTACTTTTATTGTACTGTGGATGTTGTGGGTTCCCATCTTATATTTTTAAAATGCACACTGTCGCAATAATCTCCTCAGCTCTCCAAAGAGCTATATTGATCGTTGTTCAAAGTCACTCTGAGTAATTCACAGAAAAGCATTCCTGACTAAGCCTTTATTTGGACAGCAAGATTTTTAAAAAAAGAACTAATAAAACTTCTATGAATTTGGGCAAAACATATCTAAATTATTTTACTGTTTTTTTAAAGAAAAAAATTGGATACCCAGGATCTTGTGTATCACTTTCTTTGAAGGTTGCAATCCAAGGTTGCATTCTTTTAAAAGGGAAACCTAGTTTTTAACTAAATAGCCAAATAAACCAAAATGAAAGCTAGAGGTTTCTCTCTCGTTTAATGCACAAAGTAACTAGATTTTCTAAAGGACTAATCCAATTTCTCAAATTTAATTTTGGAAAGATGCTACATAATATCCATTATACCAAACACTGTCCCTCAGATTGGATTAGTAGGCTCCCTGGACCTGCTTATTTCTGAACTCAAAGTGCAGCACAGCCTGGATAAATGAATTACCTGAGCAACGGAACTTCTTGCTCTTGATCTGGCTGATTCGTTTGTTGGCAAGACGACGCGGACTGCTGCACCGAGCTCCGCTGGTTTCTATTGGATTATCCTGCAGGTAATCAGCCAGCCACTTCAAATGGCAGTCGCACACAAATGGATTTTGAGCTAAATGCCTGCAAGAGGGATGGGATGTTTAACCAGAAATGACCTGTGACACTGTAGTCCATCATTGTTTTTACAAATACACAACTGAAGAGCAGAATAATTGAATCAGCTTCCAATACACTGGGTCTGGCAGAAGTGGGATGGAATTAAGAGTTGTGTGTGGGATATTCTGTGAGCCATCATTCTTTCTCTCTCTCTCTCTCTCTCTCTCTCTCTCTTTAGCTTGTTAAGTCAGCAGCAAGCCTTCTCCAGAAGGAAAAACAAATTAATATAACAAAGTCACTTTTTAAAGGGCATAGACCTGTTGTCTAGAAAACTGGTCAATGATATATTGTAGTCAATTAATCTTTTTAAAAGTAACAAATTTAAACTATTTTTGGGGTCACAAAATCAACACTTTCTAGAGATTGTAATGTAAACTAGTATACCTCAGGGCACTAGGGGAAGATGTAGAAGAATCAAGGGTTTCTATCAATAGAAAAATTAAATTCTAATGTATTTCATCTTTGGACGATCTAAATCTTCAACAAACCAGTATATTATGTTACTGTTAATAAGAATTATGTCATTGTTTGGTTCAGACAAAATTTATGAATTATGTATCAATATAGAAATGTTTTTTGTGGCAATTCTGAATCTCTCTCTCTCTCTCAATAAATAAATAAACAAAACTATTTTAAGGTAGTTGTTAGTTATTTTCAGGAACTTTGGAAGTGTTAGAAAAGCTAAAATGGACACTTCATAATTAATATTTTTTTAAAAAAATAAATTTATAAGATTAAAACGAGAATAATTTAATGAAAATTTTAAAAAAAGTTTTATGTCTTAATTACACCAAAAATGTAAATTAATGGAGGAGGCATTTACATATAGGGTATTGTCTGCTCCTTAAGTAGATTAGTCAGGAAAGAAGTAGTTGAAATCTATTTTATTTATGACAATAGAATTTTCAAATTCTGCCAGCATTTCCCCTTCTCTTTGTTTTATACTAAAGAAAGTTAAGGTGGGACAATCCTCAATTTTTTCTCTTGCCTTCTAGTTTTTCCAGGCTCACGTTTCACTAATAGACACCACATAACTGCTGTGCCAGAAATATGAATTTACCGATTATTATTCTGCTTTAGTTTACTTTAATATCCCCAAATGAGGAAAGTATCATATAGTTTAAAGATGTGAAAATGATTTTGAATTATAGACCAAATATGAGGAATATATCACCATACAGAGAACTATAGATTTGCTATGTGTGAGATATAACAAAACAAATTATTCATTTTCAGTGGAAAGATATTGCTGCCCTAGATTTACAACCTTGGATTGATGACATGTTGGCTCTCTACTTATGAATTTTTTATTTATTAATGTAATAGAAAGATTGATACATGTAACTTTGTCAAATCAAGTTTTAATGCTGTATATTGGTTCTCATTTATTTTTTGTTGTCTTTTTTCATACTAAAGCAATATAATGAAAATGGGGTATAAACATATAAACACAATTGTTTCAGGAAAAACACCTTCTGTTTGATGATAGCTATTGATTAAACAACTAGCTATAAACATTTAACAATAATTAATGTTCCTCAACTTGAACTGTATTATCTCCATGTTGGGGTATTTAATTATGGAGTGGAAAGATGCAACGCTCTAAGCCAGGGCTTTCAAACTCTTGGCCTGTGGGACAGATGCATGATGTGCTGGCCCAGTTTAGCGAAGGGGTGAAAGTCCTGTTACATCACACGATGTAAACGTGATGACATGAGTTTGACACCCCTATTCTAAGCCAATTATGGTAAGCTAGCCACATAAAATGGCTCATTACTTAGGGCAGGTTTCATTTTTAGGAAGTTTAAAATAACAGCCACTCATACAACGATGTTGTAAGCCCAAATGGCTTTGGATACCAATTAATAGAAGGCACAATCACATAAAATTTCAACAATTTAAATCAATAAGAAGAAGAGTGGAAAGAAGCAAATAATCCTAGACACCGAACCTAGCTAGATTCTTCTAGTAATATTTTACCAAAACATTCTGATGGAATCAATCAGCCTAGGGTTTTTTCCCCCATTGTTTAAAAAATTTCAAACTCTTTTAGTGAATCCAAGAAACTGTCAAGAGCTGGTCCATATATGATGTAAAAATTAAACAATGTTGATCTTTCCTTTATCCTTGCATCTTGATACTATCCTTTAGTATAAGACATAATGAAAACAAATAGGTATCAAAATGAAAAAAATAATATTTTAAGAGCTACATAATCAAAAAGGTATGATAATATGGTAGTATAACTTGGGTAGAATAATTAAAATGAAATTAGATTATCTCTGAGAAACACCATTTTTATTAGCAAACAATTCTGAATATTTTACTTGCACAAAGACATTGAGAAAAAAATACTAAAGAGAGATAATCACAGGAAGTTGGAAATCCACTTTTGAAATGATGTGACTAGCAGAGGAACAAGTAATTAAAGAGAAAATGTTTGACAAGATGTAACTTTTCTGGATGTGCCTATAGCTCATTTGAGTTTGCTGCATAGTTACTACAATTCTCTGTGAAACTGGAAACCTACAGCAATATAATGCAATTAAATCTAATTAATTCAATCTGCTGCAGAATCTATTTCTGTCAGTGTAATGTGGATGATGAGTCTCCTTACCACTGAATTCATTTTTGCCAGGTGATATCAACATTACTGATAAAAGAGAATATTTGTAGCTGAGGGCTGAAATGGTGCTTGGTGCTCCCTGAGCTTGGTTGCTTTATTGCAGATGTTTCATTTTCAAACTAGATAATAAATATTGGTGCTAAAAAGGGAGTGAAGTTTGCTCTCTGTTTTCTGCATAAACTAATGGCTTCCTTGATAGAATTGATGTATGTGTTCTAGGTGTTTCCTCGATTAGAGTGCTGTTTACTGTTTGTTTGTCTGAATCAGTAATTCTTTGATTTGGTTATTCACTTCTTGATAGTTGGCCTAGGATTAATCATGGAGCTAATATCTGCTCAACTGGGTGTTAATTGCTCATGAGAAGGAGTTTTAGTCTGTTTCCTTTTGATTATCTCTAAAAGATGATCTATCTCTAACAATCAAGCTCAGAGAACACCAAGGAGCTCACAGAACAACATTATGTCTGGAGAAAACTAGTCAGTTAAAGAGATTTGAGAGAGTATGCAGGAAAAACAGAGAAGAAAAGATCTCTTCATGTAAGTGGGCTTAATAACAATGTTAGATTATGCCCAAGATAGGAAGATGTTATGAAGTACCTTATGCAGCTGCCTGAAATGGAACCAGGCTCCAGAACAGTAGCCAACACTTCCACCATTGATACAACACAGAAAGCTTGCTTTAGAATACTAGTTTATCAGTATCCTAGAGCAAAATAGTACAGCTTAGAAAAACCACAGCAGCACAGCAACCACCCAATAACAAGAAGCAGATTTGTGACCATTAGCAAATCTAAAAGAGAAGCAAAAATTTACTAACCTATGATGATTTGTTTTTTTTTAAGCTAGGGAAAGCAGGTTTCTTGAATTCTTCCCATTCCTTTACAACCAATAGCCATAGTAAGCATTGTATTTTTTTTGTGTATGACAAAAACTAAAGAGAGAAATCTCTGTGCTTTATGGTACATATACACTAAGAAGGCCAGATCTGGCAGTGTAAAGGCTGCCCTGGGTTATGTGACCAACTTGGGGCAAAGGAGAAGTGTTCAAGTATGCAGCAGCCAGAAGCATTTTCAGTTGCTGCCCAACTGCCTGTTCTACATTTTCAATATTCCATTGGGTTGGAAAAATACCAGTGGAACTTTTTTATTGGATTCTGCTTTTTGGCAACTGCCAAAACATGAATCTATAAATCCATTTTTAAGTTCTCTGATTGTCTTAAACCAAGAATGAAAGTAGCATAGAACATGATCTTTGTTTTTGAAGAAAATAAAGAATGTAGAACAAAAACCAGAATTTGAAATAATGCCAGAAATTCTGCCATTATTCTCTTCATTTCAGTATTTTAACCACTTTCTGTTATGTCATTTCTCCAATTTTCTATGGTTTAGACTTTTATAACTTGATATTTTTTAATGTGAAATGGAAGCATTTAAATGTTTGGTTTCTTCCTCTACTACATCAATCTACTATGTCTCAAAGTTAGCAGTTTGGGTGGGATCAAAGGACTTTCATCTGTGGAACCATATATAGGATGCATTGGCTCAGGAAGGTGGAAGAATACAGATATAATATTACTTGATACTCACAATGTTTGAATTGATTGAAGAGGAGCAAAAAGTCCTTTGCTGATAGTCTGTAGTTTATTATCATAGAGAGACAACAAATTAAGATTATGCAGATCTTGAAATGTGTTTACTCTCAGGCAGTTGATCTTATTTGCATTGAGAAGCCTGAAAACAAACAAGAATTTTTTTTCAATAGAGTCTTGAAAACAAGATTTAAGAGATTAGTCTCACACAAAATGCTATACATAATATGGAATTAAAACCTTCAATACTGTTATTTATTGACCAAATTATTAATTCATTGGTTTGCCTTATACTATTTTTGCCAAAATGACTTAAAAGTTAAACATATGTAATAACATTATGAACATAATAACAAGCCCCCATAAGAATGTTATTTATAGTATAAGTCGACCCGAATATAAGCCGAGGCACCTAATTTTACACAAAAAACTGGGAAAACTTATTGACTCGAGTATAAGCCGAGGGTGGGAAATGCAGCAGCTACTGGTAAATTTCAAAAATAAAAATAATTAATTTGGGAAACGATCTCACTATCATGAAAGGTTTAATTGATTCACTAACCCAAAAGAAGAAGATGATGATGACAGCGGGAGGCAGGAGTCACTCTCTTCCCCTCCCTCGGAGGCCCCCTGAGTCAGGAGTCACTACCGCCGGCGCGGCCCCAGTCCCGCCGCCTCGGGAAGGGAAAGGCAAAGCGCTTTTTGCCTTTCCCTTCCCGGCTGGGGCTGTTGGGAGTCGCTGCCGCCGGAGGCCGCGACTCCACACCATTTTTTTTTCAGAGGGGAATCTGACTCGAGTATAAGCCGAGGGGGATTTTTTCAGCACAAAAAATGGGCTGAAAAACTAGGCTTATACTCGAGTATATACAGTAATATTCAGGCACAGGTAAAATAGGAGCCACTTTGATGTACTTAGAAAGGAAGTACCACAATCTAGAGTCTGTCACTGAAAAACTGTTATCTTATGTTTCCATCCATTTCCCTATTCATGGTTGCAAAACATGGATTTGAAAACAAAATTTAAACTACATCCAGAATTGTATAAATACATTAATCTTGGTATATATCACATTCCCAAATCTTTAAGGGCATAACAGAGAAGTGTCATCAAGAATAATGCCTAGAAATAATTTGGTGATATGTGCAACTAGTGTAGGGCTAAACTAATATGGTAAGCAAAGTATATACCAAAAAGTGATTGCACAGTTCATATCAGAAGTCTTAATGAGAAGTAATTAAATCATGAATCTCTAAGTTCAGATCAAAGTTCTTTAGAGATGGGCATTACTGGCCAGAACATCCATAATGTTCCTTGTGGAGAATACCTGGTCCATAAATCACCCAATTTACCATCCATAATTGTTATTATCTGATCAGTTTCTCTATTAAGGACATCCATATCAGCAATTAAAAAACCCAGATTGAGCTAGGTAACATCATCTTATTTCTTATATAGTTAAGGATCAAAGTACAAAAGGATGGTCATGTCCCCAAACTGGTCATGAACCTAAATGGCAAAGACATAAACAATCAACTTCACTGTTTATTCACCAAATAAACAAGGTTCTCTCTAAAAAGTGAAAAATAATATTATTTATTTGATGCATATCCTGCCTTTGTATATTCAAGGTGGTAGATATAATGCTCCCTCTTCCTATGTTCCTCACAACAAGAGCTCTTTGACTTGGACTGAAAGTGAATAAGTGATGTAATATCAGCCAGCGACATTTTGTGTCTAAGAGAGGATTGGAACTCGTTCAACATTCCTGTTCAATGATTTCCACCATTACACTGGAATGTCTCTCACATTTATAGTTGGTTCTAAAATCTCAAAAACTCTCACTTTTAAAACCAATTTTATAGCAATAGCACTTAGACTAATATACCACTTCATAATACTTTACTGCACTCTCTAAGCAGAGAGTGAGCATATTGCCCCTAACAGTCTCCTCATTTTACTGATCTTGGAAGGATGGAAGTCAATCTTAAGTCACTGAGGATCAAACCCCTAGCAGTTAGCAGAATTAACCTGCAATACTGCGTTCTAACCACTGCACCACCATGGCTCAAAACATTTGTCATTTAAAAAAAAAAATCCTGTTACAACATTCTCAATAAATATATTCTTCAGTTAAACCCTTTTCAAGACATGCCAAAGAAATAGATGAGATAATCAGCAGCCTTTCTGCACATAATTATATTCTTGATTGATTGATTAATGCGACTATTACTTCATCTTTGCATTTCAGAAGAATCGGATAATTGAAAATATCATTAATTGATAATTAGTTCCCTAACGTAAATGATAAAAAATGTGAGCTGAACAATAAAGAAACTATATTGCTATAGTTACAGTTTAGTTCTTTACAGTCAAAGACTAGTACAAGTAGTGAAGAAGACCGTAACTAGTATGTAATAGATGAGATCCAGGATACGTCTATGTTGAACATCTACGGAGATTCTCAGTCATTTAGGTCATGGCTGTCCCAAAGGTGCTTTTAAGAGGCAACTGGACTTACTGGTTTTTCTTTGAAGACATTTTGCTTCTCATTTAAAAAGCTTCTTGAGAGAACTGAAAGAAGCTTCATGGATGAGAAGTGAAACATCTTCAAAGAAAATCTAGTTGCTTTTTGAAAAAGCACCTTTGGGACATCTATGTTGAACCATACTGTAAACATTAAAACTATATTAAATATAATAAGATCTACAATGACAATTAGCATATAAAATTTAAGACAGGGTTACAAGGCATCTATAGAGTGAGAATTTATAGAATACATAATATAGAATATAAAATCTAATGAGTACTGTAACCCCCTCGAATGTACAAAGCAAAGGTAGGATATGCATGAAAAATAGTATTCTCTATTCACTTTTTGGAGAAGCTTCTGTGAGAATCTTGTTGTATTTCTTTAGCATTTGCCCTCACCAACACTTCTGATCTAACATGACAAACAGTTTAAAAATTCCAAGACTACTATTAATCTAGTACCCATTGGTACTAGATTAATCACTGCTTGGCTATACACTCAGCCTAGCCTACTTCACTGGCTATTATGAGGATTACTAAGTAAATATATATGTTGTGTTTTTGAAAGAAATGTAAAAAACGTATAATAAACAAGCAAATTAGCGAGATTAGGCATGAATTTAAAAAATGGTGACTTTATGTAAATGCATACTTAAAAAAAATACATTTATAGTCTTATTTTGTTGTCATTACAATAGTTCTTAAGACTACTATTTTGCAACATTTGCCAATGTATTAACACAGATAGCCCACCATCAGGTTGAAAAATCAACCATGCTAAAGGGTAAATGGTTTCCAGTTTCTCCATTAGTCCTCATAAGAATTAAGTCAAGCTAAATTTCACAGTTATCTATCTAAATACATCACTTGGGATCAACAAGGGATCAACAAGGGATCACTTGGGATCAACTGTGATAGAAACAAAAATTTATCACTGTACATCTTGCTGGTTGTGTTCAATGTCAAAACACTACAAAGTATTTCTAAAAACATAAAGCAGCAAAGATATATGTGGACAATCTTTGGCTAAGTCAAAGTGCTTATATTAAAAGTCATACTGGATTTGGAAAAAATATATGCAATTTATCTTTACATAAGTTTCCATTACAGTCAAAACTGATTCTTTCACTTGGCAGCTTATGAAAGCTACAATAAAGTATAAAATTACAAGCAATATATAGTTGAAAGTACCAAAGGTATTTTTATCACAATGATGTGATAAATTCCTTCTCCTTTTTGTCACAGTTACTTTGAGATTTTTAATGGGAAACAGTATTTAGAGATTTTAAATAAATAACTTCCAGTTTAGAGATAAATATCTGAATGAGGTTTGACAGTGGCTGTCACAGAGTACATACCACCATGACTAATCCAATTTACTATCATTAAGCACTATAATAGCAGTAATTATTGTACAGAGCTCAGTATTTTAATATTACCAGCTAAAAGTCAGAAAAATCTATAAAGGGGAACTCTGAGAAATAACTATTCAAACTATGTGAATTTATTTTCAAAAATAGTTTGAAAAGTTTTCCGATGATATATTACCACAGCTAGAATACATGTGTATAAATGAACATTGTTGGTAATAGTCTATAATCTCTGCTATTCTTGTTTTTTAGTTATAAAAGTACAATTCTTCAGTTTATTATTTAAGAAATATAATTTTTTGCTGGCTGCCCATTAGATTCAAATAATTTTTGATATTTTAAATGTTGAAAAAAAAATTAAGTCACTTTTTTATATTTTCTTTTTTCCCCTTTATTCTCCTACACTTCTGGCTTTTTCTTGACTTTCTTGACTTATTTGCTTATTCTTTACTTACTTCTTTCTGTTAGTTTTTATCTTTCTTGTTTAAAGTTTAATATCTTTTTTTTAAAAAAACTAGTCTCTTGGAACCATGGTTAGAACCATGTATTTTTCCTTAAATTCCTATACCAAGTATATTGGTATATTAACAACCTTGCTCCAGCTTCAAACAGAGCTTTTTCAAAGGTCACTAAATTTGTACTTCCTTTGCTAACCATTTTTGAAAGTTGTATCTTAACTGGTTTAAAGAAGTTAGAGAACCTTTGAAATGACAAGATTGGAAATATCAGGTGAGTGTCTTTAATCCACAATATAAGAAAATGAAACTATGTTTTTAAAAGCTTTAAGAATAAAAAAATATATTAAAAAAGCAAGACAAGATTTTGGCTACAGAAAATTTTAAACTAATTAAGGGTTCAGAAAATATTGGAATATTGGATTTTGAATAGTAAGATTTTGAAATTAATTTTAAAGAACAAATGTACTTCAATGGGAAACAAAAACTATTTTTAAATGTTGGAGACACAAGAAGATAAGTAACTTATAATGCATTCAGAAATATTTCCAAGCACTGCACCAAGATTTTGAATCAATAATGGCAGCTATGTTGTGTCTTCATGGGAACAATCTGTTTACAGAAGAGAATATTATGGAAAAAGATTTGCAACAAAACCTATCTGAGATCAATATGAATGAGATCTTCAACAAGAATTTGTCATCAAATATTTTTTAAAAATTGGATGAGGTTTTAAAATTAAGAAGTAAATCAAAAATGACAATACCAGCAAACAGTTGGATTTTTT